TCATGAAAGAGAGGCAGTTTCATGCTCCAGGGATATCACAGCATTATCAGAAGCCTGCCGTATTTGGGGTCTTTTTAAATAGTAAATATAAACAATTCCTAAGCACACAATTACATTTTGGACCAGTCAGCTTCCCTGCCTTCACAGAGCAGATCGTGTTTGAATTTTTGAACCTGAGCCTAGTTCATGACACGGCCACAGGTTTTCGGATTAAATCCTGAGGATCCTTAATCAAGCAGAAGATCTGAGTGTATGTGACAAAGACACAGCACCAGAGCAGAGGATCGTCTTCAGTGGAACAGAGCCATCACTGTGTTAGCTCTACATTTGTGTTTGTTTTTGTAAGAGCCATGGAGACAAAAGGACAAAATCTGTGAGCTCTTAAAGACTGCATCACCTACTTCAGGTTTCTAGTAGTGTCAATTGCAGATCTCTGCTTTATTAGACACAGTTTTCAAGGGCATGTCAAAAAAGAAAGCTTTCACTGAGAATTCGAGAATGTGACTATACATAAACGGGCAAATAAAGTCTATTATTCTAAGACAATGCTTAAAATGTGAATTACATCTACATCCAGACTTTCATAGTAGTTTGAAAAATATTCTGTTAAACTGTATATACAAGCACAGTGATGTGACCTGGGGTAGAAAGATTTAAAAAATAAATGCTGTATTGTTGTAAATTTGCCCTCAAATCAAGGCTATAATATTTAAGTTTTATCCTAAATGCATTTTTTTTTGTCTGTCACTATTCAACTGGCACCTGGATAATGATCACTGGCTGTCTCTGACACTTCATAATGATGACCATTTTTATTTATTGTGAGCCACAATCAAGCGGTTGATACCTCTTTTTTTAATCATTTTCTGAAACAGTCTTAGTGGTCAACACTGGATTCATCACGTCTAAATAGAGCCAGTTTTAAGGATCAAATGACTGTTGATTTTTTAGTTAGTGTCTCGGTTCATATAATCGATCTTCAGTGTGTGGTGTAATGAGATACCACATGTATGGACATCAGTAAGATGCGTGACCAACTTTAAAAAATGTGTTTCTTTTGGATCTGGTGTAAATAAATCATTTAAACTCACAGAAAAAAAAAAACCTCATTCAAACATTCAGTCTCATTTCACCTTTTTTTTGGACACTCAACATGAACCCACCTCTTATAATACACCATAGGACATTTATAAAGCCTTATCAACTCATATAACAATCCTTTTATCTGACACTTTTCTTGCAGCCTTAAAATTCTGCTTACAAGTGTTTTATATTTTTTATATTTACATTTTTTAAATATTATTTTTATATATCTTTTTAATATTTTAGATTTTTATGTTATTATATTTTTTGTAAGTGCTTCTACATGTGTTTTAGGATCATACAGAGCTGTCACCTTATTTTAAATGCCCACAGTCATGCTTAGGTGTGTTGTGAGAATTAATGAGACCTTTACTGAATTAAAGCTCCTGTGAGGAACTTTTAATTTGACAAATTTTTGTTCATCCTGTTCTCTACACGCTTGAGTATTGACTTTTGATGAAAAATCGAACCCACCTGACCTTTGAGTGTTAAGTATATCATGTGGTAATGGTAAAAATATCTGTTTCTCCAGCTGCTTGGCTGACACCTACCCCCTTGCATCAGTTTCAGGCATTATATATTAGAGTAGAAAGACAGCAAATCTTGTCCCTGGATGTCTTTATTGCTTTTGGTGATCATGAAAAGGCATCAATATGACTTTCAGTCTATTTCATAAACATGAAAGAACTCCTCATTGGAGCTTTAAGAATCTTTACCTAAGAAGAGGGTAAAGTTATGAGAGTTCTAATGTGTTATTAAACCCAGAACTTTTAAACACTTTTAAATTTTTGCATTAATGTATAGTACATTAAAAATCATACCTTTATAAAGCAGAATGCTCACAGCTTATAACACTCTAAACATTGCTATAATAAATGCATTTCAAGTCTTTATGAATGTGCTTATGATGCATTATATGAGATGGGTTCATATAAAGTGTTTCTTCTTGTCAGAGAAAGGACTCTTGAAACAAAATGAATGAGCTTTCATATTTATTCCTTAAAGATTAAGGTTACATGAAGTTTGTTAGTTTTTTTTTATTGCGTTAAAGGTGTGCAGGGTTTGGCCGCAGCAGTTATGAGACTTAGTAGAAATGGAACATTATATTTGCAAATATGTTTAAATTAGTGTATAACTACCTGAATATAAAAATATATTATTTTTAAACATATAAATATATTTTGTTTACTTAGAATAAGATTTTTTTTCTCCTGACAGGAGCAGGTCCCCTTACATACAGGCTGCCATCTTTACAGCACCATGTTCATACACCGGCACAGAACAGGCAGGCTGACAAACTATATAGAGTATTCAGTCAGCAGCCATATGAAATGCAGCAGTGGGAAGAGAAAGGAGAAGAGGGTGGCTGTGAGAACAAAAATAATCAACATTTTTGGTGAGATGAGGCAAAATTTTGACAAATGGATGATCAGACTTAACATGCACTCCTGGAGCTTCTTGTCCCCAGAAGCCACCTTCACTTCACCAACAGGATGGGTGAGCAGGGGGGCATTTCTGACCGCTAGATACTGTTAATTTTTCCTTTTCTACGCACTGTATTTTTCAGTCTGTTCTAGAAGTGCTGTGAAGAATTTTTATTGTGAAGGTTTGAGTTTAATTGTAGAGAATATTTAAAGATTATATTAGATGCAATATATCTGCTCTCATGCTGCCCTCTAGTGGGCTGATGCAGAAATCTCATGTGGACAAATGTGGGCTGCATTTGCACTTCAATCCGACATGTTTCGGGATTAAAAAATAAATCAAAAATACTCCAGATGTTTGTTGCTTAAGTCACAAAGTTAGATAAAAACAGAAGTCCTGCACGGACACCTGTTCAGAGTAAAATGTGATGCAGCTGCTGGGGTCAAGCTAGGTCTTTTTTGATTAGGGTGGAGAATTTTCACACCACTCCCCGTACATCACAGAGGTTAAACAGCCAAATCCAACCCTGTGGACCCAGGACAAGTTCTAGGCAGGCAAATCTAAAGGGGCAGTCAGAAATGTGAAGGGGGCATCGTGCATACACATCATGCCTGAACATTTTTTCTGAGCTTATAGTAACTAAGTTTCTTTTTCATGGAATTGGGTTGTGAGCTAAAGTTAAGGTCAAATTATCGGCCTCCCACAAACTATTCAACATTCCTTAAAGTACTGTCTGCGGCCAGTCTGGGTGTTAGGCCATTGCTGGGTCTTCTGATTAGACGATGACCAAAACATACGCCAAAGCTAGTCCAAAAGTTTTTGAAGGGCACCAGTATCAAGGTTCTGGAGAGGCCCTCTCAGAGCCCAGATCTCAACCATCGAGAACCTGAAGAAGGAGCTCAAGGTTAGGGTCCATGCTCAGAGGCCCAATAATATTGGTGATCTGGAAAAATTTGTCCCAACTTAGAAACTATTAAAAGACGTTATTGTCAGTTTGTCAGTTTTGTATCAGAAAGGCAACACTAATGACTACTGATTATCAGTGGGCTAATAATTTCGGCCTTTGCCTTTTTTTTTCTTTCTTATTGTTTCACTTCAGCAAATCAGAAAAAAAAGTGTTAATTTGGCCTCATGCAGATGTTGTGTTTGTTATTGTGGACGCACACAAGCTATGAACACTTTTGGTTAGTGTGTGACGGAGAGGTATTGCAGGTCATTCCTTCCTGCAGCTGTCAAACTCCACAACAGGAACCTCAATGTGCAATAAACCCTATTATTATGTAAAATAATTAATTGTAAATATGACACATGCACATATCTTGTTTTAACTCAGTTTCTTTATTTTGTAATTTTTGTCTTTTTTGTATCTATACTATGCTGTTTGTATCTATCTTTTGTATCTATGCTGCTGTAATTTTGGAATCTCCCCCTGTGCACTGTTAGAAAAACAACAACAATCTATTCACAAGAGTTTGTATTCTTAATTGGGTGAACATGAAAATTAAAATAGCTATTATTTAACAAGAAAATACATGTCAGACCAACAATGTGCACCTCAATAGAGACCAAAGATGTTACTCTAAATGAGCAGAATTTGCAATTTGTTGTTTGCACAAGACCTACGGGGTTTACCACGTTCCGTCGCAAGGGCAAGTTCTCCCTCATTGTGTGTCACAGCCAGCAGGGCAGAGGGAGAAGAGGACTTTTTTGAGTGGACCAGCTTCAGTCCAAGTTGTTTAAGTATTTTGTGTGAAAATAAACTTGTCTGAACTGTATTAACTGTATTAACTAATAGAGAATGTGGTGTTTTTGTGCTTTACCAAATTTACTGAGGTAAATTAGCTACTTTTTCAGTTTAGCTAACAATGATTGTCTATCTACATTGCTTGTCTGCCGGAAAATTATCTTTCTGTTCCCTCACGATGTGTTTCTCAGCCGCGTGTTTAATCGCACATGTAACTGAGCAGGCAATTTTATCTCTGGGGCGCATTCACGATGTACGCTGCCTCCACGCTTACTCGTTGCGGAGAAAGCCGTTAGCTTTAGCCATTAGCAAGCGGCTGTTAGCTGACGGCTAGGGCTGCTAAAAGTTTATATAGGCAAAATGAAGAATAAATAGTTGTGACAAATAAAAAATAATTGAGCAAATAAAAGTGTTTATATTGGCAAAACAAAGAATAAATAGTAGTGACCATTCACCGAACAGCATAAACGTAATTGATACAACGCTTATGACAATGACCTAGCAAATCGCTGACACAATTAAAAACTCTTACTGCAAAAGGTTGCCTAAAAATTTTAAGTTTTCTCAATGACTCTTTTTTTTTTTACAGTGTGGGACTATTAAAGGAACATCCTATCTAATTTTGACATTAACTGTTTGTGTCCACCCCCAACCTGGAGAAATGGATAAGCTACACATTGTCAGGCCTCTACCTTCAGACGTGTCCAACTTGGTTGTCCCACCTGAAGAGCTCCTGCTGGTAGAGCTCAGTCACTGAGGCACACACTCACTTCTGTGCTTGTGTAACTGAGGAACGCCCCCCTGAACAGACGACAGGAAGACTATTCCTCAGTTGACTGAGCAAATATCGATGCTATATTTACTTTGTTTTGTTTTTGTTAATTATCAATTATCTTACGAGTCACTAAGACGAGACTTTGGTAAGAAGCTCCATACTGAAATCTGACACTACAGTCAGGCTACATCTTGGCCTATTTGCATACTCGCAGTGGTTGGATATTTACTGGGGAGGTGTGAAGAAGAAGAAGAACTTTTGATCCGCGAAGGGAAATTCAAATTTTGTGTGTGTTTGTATGTGCGCGCGCTGCACAGCCTTCTAAACTTCTAAAATTCTGATTAGAATGGGAAACACATTTAAGCAATGCAAGAGGGCGTCGTCTCCTCTTCCCCCTGCGTAAAGCCGGCCTCGCGCGGATCCTCTCGTGAACTTTGGAGCCGACTTCCTTGCACAGCACACACTCACCGAACCTCTACCTCCGGCTCCTTCTTTTCAGTGGAAACAGTCCTCCGTGATCAGCAGATATGGCAGAGCCAAGTGGGATCCTGATTAAAGGAGGGAGAGTTGTGAACGAGGACTGCTCCACGATCAGCGACGTCTACATAGAAAATGGGAAAATAGCAGAAGTTGGGCTGAATCTTCAGGTCCCGTTGGGGGTGCGAGTCATTGATGCCACGGATAAACTGGTGATCCCGGGTGGCATCGACACGCACACACACATGGAGCTGGCGTTTATGGGCACCAAAGCTGTGGACGACTTCCACATTGGTACAAAGGTGCAGATCTTTTATTTTCATAACACGTCCCCAATAATATCCCAGAATACAAACTCGTCAAGGTGAGAGACAAAGAAAAGCACAGCAGTTAAACGTTGAGTATCTGTTTAGATTAATGCTTCCTACGGCAACTTCATGACCACAGTCGTGTATAAACCTTTTCTTTTCTTTTCTTTTCTTTTACAACCCTAACCCTACTTCAATTGTAAAGGCCTACCAATTCTAGCTAAAGTCAGCTACACATATGTCTGAGTATTATTGACGACACGAGGCACAACTATGAGATTACAGAGACTATATAGTTAAGAATATTTGGGACATTCCTGTTTAGTGGTTTAACACATTTACATGATATGAAATATGTTAAACTGCTTATTTTTAAACTGTCTTATTTTGAAGGATGCCAACCTTTGAGTGTTTTGAAAGTGTGCGAATGAACTTGCTTTATGTTTATCAGTTTTTTTATTTTATTTTATTGCATTTCTTTTCTTTTGAAGACTTTTTTGTGGACAAGATTTGCATAATTGCGGTAAAAGTACAGAAACACATTTTCACAAACAGATGTTGTATGAGGAGTTAAGTCAGGAGGTTTTCCATCTGTGCAGCCTGCAGCAGCCACAATCTGCTAACCTAACTTTACAGTTGAGATGTCAGAGACACTTTATCAACACGAACAGAGACAAAGTATTTGTGTTGATCTGTCCAAAACCTAGTGTTGTTACCAAACTAGTAGTAACATGTCACAGCCCTACACCCTGATCTGTCAGAGCATGTTGTTTCTGTTATGCAATAATTGACTTTTTTCAAACTGTGATGACTAGAACCAAAGGGGGGAAAAGGTTTTAAATATGTCTTTACTGAGGCATTTCACACCTGTTTCCCCATTAACTACAAGACACTGTTGATTTCTGGTGGGGGATGCACCAAATTTCAGTACTGAAGTCCTAACATACAGCTGATGGCTACAGGTATTAAGTATTTTTTTAAAATTTCAGCCTCTACAGCAGTGGTTCTCAAGTCCAGTCCTCGAGCCCTCCCTGTCCTGCATGTTTTGGATGTTTCCCTGCTCCAACACACCTGATTCAAATGATCAGCTCGTTATCAAGCTCTGCAATGGCTTAATAACGAGCTGATCATTTGAATCAGGTGTGTTGGAGCAGGGAAACATCCAAAACATGCAGGACAGTGGGCCTCGAGGACTGGATTGAGAACCACTCCTCTGCAGAGAGTAATAGAAACCCCAGAGTTAGAAAATATAAATCAGTACTTTAGTCTGTATTGTAATATTTGTGTTTCAACAGGCTGCTCTTGCAGGAGGGACCACTATGATCATGGACTTTGTCATCCCTCAAAGAGGCCAGTCTCTCCTGGAGGCTTATGACTGCTGGCGTCAAACAGCTGACCCCAAAGTTTGCTGCGACTACTCGCTGCATGTTGCTGTCACATGGTGGAGTGATAAGGTTAATGAGCATATTAATATAAAAAAAAAAACAACACACTGATCCCAACTATTCCAAAGACATTTGAGAAAGAAACAACAGAAAAAAGAAACATCTGATTATAACATAAATTATCAAGTATTTTTGTTGTTTCTTTTTCTTTTTGAGAGTCAGAGTCATTATCCAAAATGATTCCAGTTTATATCCATCTGATTCTCCTCCAGGTCAAACAAGAGATGCAGACGATAACGGCGGAGAAAGGAGTCAATTCCTATAAGATGTTTATGGCCTACAAAGATGTATTCATGCTGCAGGACTCTGAGCTGTATGCTGTTTTCTCAAACTGCAAAGACATCGGAGCCATAGCTCAGGTTCATGCTGAGAATGGAGACCTGATTGCAGAGGTTAGTAACTGCAAATGTGAGAACCTGCCCTTTAACCAGGGTGAACTGTAAGAAATCTGTGCTATGGACGTCTCTGATACAGTCTCCTTTATCAGGATGGCCTCAGTTAGTTCACGTCAGTTGCACAATATGTAAACACACCACAGTCCAAACAGGAACGTCTAAAGATTAAAGTTTAACCATCAAAGTCAACAGGACATGATCCTGCTCAGTGTTGTAAAGGAATAAATGTAGTTGCTGTATAACTCTGCAGACAGCAGGTATTTGTTAACCACTGAGAACAATAAATGTCTTTTTATTTTAAATGGACAGGACATGCTGGTCCAGTGTCTATCAAGTGTTTTCCGGGTGGAACAAGGTCAATTACGGCTCTACGTGGTTGCAGCAACAGTTAATATTTAAAACAACAATGTAAAGTAACACCAGCTAGTCTACTATTTGAAAAGTTTGACTCTTAGAAATGAGGATTTTCAAGGCTTGTTTTAATGTAGATGATTAACATGAGACATCTGTGGCTCAGTTGAAGGAGGGGCTATTCACCCATCATAAGGTTAATGGTTCGAGGCATGGCTCCTGTAGTCAGCATGTGGAAGTGACACTGACATGCAGGGTTGCTCCTAAAGCATAAGTGTCCCTCTCCTCCTTTCTCATCCCGACATAGTCGCAGCAGATGACAATTTTATTTTTTCTTCTTTTTTAAAACATCTCAAGACAAAGTTTATTTGAATTGGTGCTATAAAAATAAAGTCTTATTGACTGATTCATTAATGATTGATATTTAATGTGATTTTCCTGTGAGTGATTAGAAGACTATAAAGCTCTGTATAAGAGCAGTCCTTTAAAGTTTATCTGTTCTCATTTGAAAGTTACATGTATTCATAGTTTCAGTTACTCTTTTCTTGATTTCAGTACAACAGTTTTACCACTGGGGAGCAGCAAATGCCAGAATGTGAAAGAAAGTTTGCCAGTGTGATAATTGCTTTTTAACTGTAGGAACTATTACCAGTGAAAATATGTATATACATGAATTTTGACTCTGTTTATGTAATTTTTTTCTATCCTTTTGAGAGTTCTAACAGTCTTATATTCACAACATAAGCTGCTATACAATGTACACACAAACAGCAGAGAGAGAGTTAAACAGGTAGAAGCAATGCAGCTCACCTGCTGTCAAGGTGATTTATGACAGCTTTATGCAAAAGGAAAATAAAATCAGCAAAGACCAGTGAAAGAGCTGTGCAAGTTACTTCATTCCCATATACCTTCCCTGGATCTCACTGGCCTGATCAACATTATTGACACTGAACTTCAGGCCCCCAGTGGAAACACAGACAACAATGGGCCACAGGAACCATTTAGTCCCTTAAAGAGAGGTCCCTGGACCTAAAAGCTCTGGGTGCTTTGGGTCGAAAAGAACCAAATGATACTTACTTGGAGTCTCAAAAACAGATATAAAACTATAACATCAATTCATTACATCTGGGTTATACGGTTTCTAAACTTATAAGATAAGTGTATTTTATCTTGAGTTTTTATTCTCGTTTATGAAACTGTATTTTGATGCATCCTCTTTAATAGATCAGACATAAACCTCATCTTTATCATACTGACCCTGAGTTATGATAACAGCAATCTACACTCACAATCATGCTAGTCATTACTTTGTGATTAACCTTTTTGAAGAAAAAACAATAATCCATTTACACTTCACTCCATTTACTTCACTCTGTTTACACTGATATTGGCTGTACAGGCTTTGTTAATGATAAGGGTTTTGCCTACAGCCTTATACTGGTTTCTGTTTTCTAAGAATAAAAATTCAATAATAAAAAGGTACAGATAGTTAAAAATGGAAGACATGTTTCTCAAGCTGCTTTGCCTCATTCATGTGATAAAGCATTTTAAAAAAATATGGTTGTATTTGTCACAGTCTGCTCCCTTTCTGCTTTGACAGATAATGCTTTTTTTTATCTTTTCAGATGAAGATGATGATGATGATGATGATGATGATGTTTAACCTTTACCTGCCCTTGTTTCTCTGCTCATGCTGGGGCCTAACAGGGGGCTAAGAAGATGCTGTCCATGGGAATCACAGGACCCGAGGGCCATGAGCTGTGTCGCCCAGAGGAGGTGGAGGCAGAGGCCACCCAGCGAGCGATCACCATCGCCAACGCTGTCAACTGCCCTCTGTATGTGGTCCATGTTATGAGCAAATCTGCCGCAAAGGTGGTGTCTAATGCACGCAGAGATGGTAAGTGAGGGCTTGCTGCCACCTGCTGTTGAAATGGAGGAAAGATGAGTAAAATGACTGCATGGTATCGGAGTAAAACTTCAGGCTTCATATTCCTTGCCTTTACTTTCTGTTCAAAAAATACCAGTTATTCATGAGGAGAACAGCTTCAAGCTTATAAATACAAAATGTACTGTAAGAAGGTATTATTATGTGAGACAAAACTCCACTATAGTTTTTCCATTTCCTTCTTCCTCAGGTCGAGTGGTGTTCGGGGAGCCCATTGCAGCTGGTTTGGGCACAGATGGAACTCACTACTGGCATAACGAGTGGGCCCATGCTGCTGGCTTTGTCATGGGTCCTCCACTCAGGCCTGATCCCAGCACCCCAGGGTACCTCATGGACCTACTAGCGAAGTAGGTATAACAGAATATATTGGAGTTATTCTACATGATAGTGTTACTGTTACAAAAGTGTTTTTCAGTTCTTCCTCCATGTTTTGGAGCAATCGATTTAATCACAGATAAGAAGATCAGAATAAAAGAGGCTGAGGCTGACAGGCTACAATATAATAACAGTAATAATTATATAATAATGATAATCATCCAAATGAATGTAACATACATTCATACTGCCATTAATAACTGAACTCCATCTTACTCTATTATTCGCACTTGTATTTTCCTAGTGATGATCTCAGTGTGACCGGGACAGACAACTGCACCTTTTCCATCTGCCAGAAGGCTTTAGGAAAGGACGACTTCACCAAGATCCCTAATGGAGTGAATGGAGTGGAGGACAGGATGTCTGTCATCTGGGAGAAAGGAGTGGTAGGTTATAGTGATAATAATAATGATAATGAAAATAATAATGATATATTTGTAATTAGTATAGCACTCTTCAAAAACAAGTTAAAAAGTGAGTAACAACCACACAGACTGAATCATAAGAGACCTTGAGGGCATGCAGACATGGAGGTGGTCAGAGATGATCTAAGGTGCTTATTTATTCAAAGATTTCTAATGCCAGTTAAAAGTTGAGCAGCAGCATTTTAGACGTACTGCAGATGCAACAATGAGACCTAGCTAACACCCACATTGAGTCCAAATAAAAGCATTTATTAATGACTCAAACTTGCAACAACACAAAACAGATTTAATTTTGAATAAAAGCCCCAGATGATAAAAACAAGATTTAGAAAACAGAGTAAATCTGTTTGTCTGTTGTAAGGTCACTGTCCATTTCACTGTTTGTCAACTGTTTGAGTCTGAAACGGCAGAGGTATAAGCAGAGCTAATGCAACGCTTTTTTAATTGTTTGTGTAACATAAGTTGCGGTGATGAATAAAAGGGGCCGGCTACAGAGAAAATGACAACACAGTGTAACCATGACAACAACACAGATTGTGTCTTTTTAAAATAAAGGTCCTATTTGCATTTATTTTACATCAACTTGATGCCTTTACCGCTTGACTTATCAGCATACATCATCATCATCAGGAAAATGAGTCAGTTCACATTCAATGCTCGGAGTGGCTGGTTTTGCTGAATAGTTAAACGGCATGTCTCATGCATAGAGGCTGGGGTTCTGAGAGTGAAGTGGGCAGCCTTGGTTTAATTCTGACCCACAGCCCTGTGATATACTAGTTCCCCACTTTATCCTTAGTCTTTTTTCTCAAATAAAAGCAAAACAAAAACTCAACAAAAAATAGATTTAGAAAAGGGCTCATGTGTCCCACAGTTTTGCAGAGTATCTAAAATCTGCTGCATGAGTCTAGACAACAGTGAAGAGGAACCATTGTACAGGCTGTGAGGTTGAGGCTGTGATAGGCCGTGTGCAGACAGACTATGAATCAATTAATGCTTGATTTGCAGAAATCAGACTTTTTAGGATGCATTTTTTAAGCATCAATCTGTCTGCCCATAAACCACTGGATAGACTTGTCACATGCAGCATTGCTTACTAATTCCATCCTGTGACAATCTCTTGTTTGAAAGTTTTTTGCTTGCTGCACAGTGAGACACTGACCTTTAGTCTGTAAGTTCTGTATTGTCATCCCCTGTGGCCTTATACCTAAACCAGCTGTATTGTGCATTTTCTTTCATCAGCACAGCGGCAAAATGGACGAGAACCGATTTGTAGCCGTCACCAGCAGCAACGCAGCAAAAATCTTTAACTTCTACCCACAGAAAGGCCGTATCGCCAAGAATTCAGATGCTGATGTGGTTATATGGGACCCCAAAATGACAAGGTAAGGACGAGACTCCAGGCATAGAGCAGGGAGGGAGAAAGCTTTTAGAAACAGAGAAGCTGTCAGACGCTGAATGGACTGCTTCAATACTTCAGCTCTAATGCTTCTCCAGGTGTTGGTGCTGCAACACTAGGCAAACTTAAAAGCATGTCTTCAGGGTGTTAAGCATTTGGTTGAATCAGATAACAAACACAAGTGAAACTCAAGAACAAGTCAGACTGGATCTAATAGGAGAAGTGATGTATCTTTCATCTTTTGCAACCTACACACACTCAGACTCTTACCAACCCAGTAAGCTGATTACGTCTGTGCTCTATGCAGAAGTCAGGGGATGTCATCACTTATCTACAGCTGCAAATTAAAGCACAACACTATTTACATATGAATCACACTTGTCAGTCTTAAAATAAGACGGTTGCAGTGACTACATCTTTCCATGTTTGGTTATTTTTGAAGGAGAGATTTTAACACACTTACATAAGCTAGACGCTCACAGCGGCGATAGGATGATGCTGGTGGGTCATGGTGAGGATCTTAAAGATGACGAATATTACACGTGGGAGATAAACCAATTTTCATGGTCAAGAACACGCAGTATCAAGGCTATTTTAGGTGAGCGGCTCAGAGTGCAGGCTGTTTTAAAAAATGATCATGTGATTGTTTCTATATTGTTTCTATACGTCTCCTCTTTATTAGACAGTATGCTGCCCTGTGGAGCACAAACACAGATGCATAGAGGACGGTTTGCGTTCCTGTACATGTGTACTGTAGCCGAGGCTTATATAACCCGGAGTTGCGATGCTCTGTTTGTTGGAGAATCTGGGCTGAGCCCCTCAGGGCAGCAACTGACTGCTGATGTGAACAGGAGAAGTACACGTTACACCCCAGTGTATTTTGCTGCAAATGAATTCACTGTTACCGCCGGAGAAGCTTCTGCGTGTACTGAAACCTGCGAGGCCTTCGAGTGGTAGAATTTACAGTATTTTGGTCCTGTCAGGCCTATCTCAGACATCACCTGTTTGTTTCACTGATTGTGTCATCTGTCTCTACCATGTGCACAAACTGGCTGATTTAATAATTCTATTCAAGCATGAGAGCGCCTCATGTTTGATTCTGCAGCAGTTAATCCATCTGTGAAACTGCGTAATTAATCGCCCTCTGTACAAGTGTCGCTTCATAACATCCGGCACCAGGGGCCACAATCAGTTGCATAACCAGAGAGGCCAGGGAAGCTAAGTCAATTGCCTTGTGTGTCATAATTAGGCTACTTGAATAAAAGGGGCATTTTTTTTTTTTGCATGGTGTCTGGATTCACAAAAGAGATTCTCTAAAATGAAAGACTACATTCATAGGGTTTAATAACAATTAGAAGATGTGGAGAAGCCTCAAACTGATGCTTGTCCTGCATCTCTTTATTTCCTGATTAAAGCCTCTTCTTCTTCTTCTTCTTCTCCAAAACTAAAACCCCAGCCTCTTTAGGAAGAAAGCATTGCATGAGCATATTTGTAAATAATGCATCCCTTTATATTGCGTGTTGCTGCAAAGTTAGTTGTTAGTGAGCTGCAGTAACCCGGTGCTGAGCATGGGTACATCTTGGCCTGATTCAATCAGTTTCAGATTACAGTGGAATGCATTGAGGTCTCACAAAAGGTCTATGTTCCAATTCAGCTGAGTCAACAGAAAGTATGTCGGTTATATCACTTTATCACAAGGGCTGCATGTGATTATCAAACTGGGTTTTTAGCCTGGCTTTCAGAATCTGATCGCAAATCACAGTGATATCTTTGTGTTTTTTTATAGGAAGATATCAGCCAAGACACACCACCAGGCTGTGGACTACAACATCTTTGAGGGTATGGAGTGTCATGGCGTCCCTGTCGTCACCATCTCCAGAGGAAAAGTGGTCTGGGAAAACGGGCAGTTAAAGGTGTCACCAAGTCACGGCAAATTCATCCACAGGAAGCCCTTCTCTGAGTTTGTTTACAAGAGAGTCATGCAGAGGGAGCAGGTCAGTCAAGATTCACTGTTTAAATACCACCAAACGAAACTATCAGTACAGTTGAATCCAGTTATTTACATGGCTCAATAAGGCGGTTTAACTGGTCTACTGTCCTTGTCCCTGTTTACAAAGATTATTGACAGAGGCATTTTAGCTTGCAAATACTGGGTCATCTCGAAAACAAGTTCGCAAGTGGCTAATGGACGCCGTCACTTTTACAGCTCTGTATCATTTGTTTTTACAGTAGGGAAGTTTTGTCTTTTTCCGTCCTTTCTTTGTCAAGGTTTTGTCTACTACTCAGCATTTATGCTCCTTAACAGCTCAAAGCCTGGCGTGCAAACACCAGAGCATGACCATGTAGCGATTTGAATTCATAATAAATGTCTTAAGATTAATATTTGATAATAATCTTAATTTATGACATTTATGCCCTCGTTGAAGGGGGCACCACCCACCTTTTAATGGTGGGAAAATAAAGAAAAACAAAAGTTTCATTCAGAAATCAAACACTAAGTTCATCTTAAATTAATCAATCTCTCATAAATCTATTATAAAATAATGATCGGTTTATTACAGGACAAATACTGATCCAACACACATGCAGTATATGATGATAAAATAATGAGGATAGATAATAACAGATGAATGGAAGATTCTGAGTTAGGCTACGATTATTTAGGTTAATGATAGTGAGTGAATATGCTCTAACATATTAACCTACATTAACTTTGGTGTAAAGATAAATTTTTTATGTGGTTATTTGAATTATGAAGCATGAGACAGCATCAGCCCTGTTTGGAGCTCTGGAGGTTTGGATACTTAAGTGAGGCTGGTCCTTGGAAAAGATGGAGCAGGTTCTTAAGTTCCAGGCTACTGGTTCGAGAGGTTCAGCTCTGCGCACAGGCCTGAAAGCAAAAATCAGTGCCTTATGTATCCTTTGGATGCTCCTTTGGTCTCACTGCAACACTCTGGCTCAGAGGGTGACTTTGGGCCTGCTGGGTGGCGTTCAGAGGTGACTTGGCAATCACGCAGATAGCCAAGAAAAAGAGGCTCGATGACCAGTTGAAACTGTTTCAAAAATTAAGGAAAATCAATTAAAGGCTTAATCTTGAATTGCTATGTGCACAAAAAGTTGAGGTTTCACAACTTGAACTAAGACGATGTTAAAGAAAAATCAAGCGAGAAAACAAGCTGACAGAAGATCATGGTGCAGTGTCCATCCAACCTATAATTGTACTAATTGTAGTTATTCTCTTTGGATTGTACTCACAGAGAGCACAGGGAAGATCAACCAAATTTAGGATTTATGGCTGAGCTGATTAACCTGACGCTTCCCAGTCAGGAGGTCATGACAGATGTTTATCTGATCGAGTGGTCCTGCAGTTCTCTCCTGCTGGCCATAAACAGTGTCTTTGTCTTTTTGAAGCAGAGAGGATACAAGGTTTGTCCTTTTGGGAAGGCTTCTTTGGTTATCTTGTATAGAGACAGGATGTTGTAGAAGGATTGTGATTTGGAGTTAAAGGTTTACACCATCTCATCTCCGGTGAACAGATGTAAGTCTTACATTCTCTTGGGGGTCTGGATGAAATGGTGGTGGTCTCTGCTACAACCAGAACCAAAGTTGTGTCAGGTTTTTTTTTTTTTTTTTGTCAAAATACAATCCTGCTTTCTATAGGAATAGACAATGAAACAATGTTTAAATCAACAGACTCATAATTGAGGATTTAGCCTCTCTAAATACTCAAATTTAGAGGTTGTAGTGAAGAAAAGAGTTTTACTTTTCTCAGGTGGTCGGAGACAACATGAAATCATACATTTTACTGTTCATCCTCTGTATTTATGGATAAACTGCTCTGAACTGATAAACTGGCTGTATTAGTTTACTGTTTGTCTGTGTTTGGTGCACAGTTTATCTTGTATTGCTCTCAAGTGGCCCAAATATTCTTTTTCTATATCATAACCAGACGAGAAATACTCCAGGGAATAATGTTGATGTGCTCTATTTTTTATTTCAATATGTGCTCTGGATAAAAAGCCCTTTCTTTCACTTTCTGCTCCAAGCAGAGCTAGTTCAAACATTACCCTGTGATCAAGGCTTTCAGCTAGGACATGTTAACCTCTGTACAATCTGTTCTGTCGTAACTGGTATCCTTCTTATATATCTATCCAGAATCATAAATAGAATATAGAGGATGTCACTGTCTAAGTCATGTTAAAAGTACCCTTTTCTCTCCTGCTTTGTTTTTGGCTTTTCAGGTGGGGAAACCTACTGCTGTGATCAGAAAACCCTATGAAGGCAAAGTCATCTCTATATGAACGGCTGACAGATAGTCTTCAGTCGACACCATCCAGAAGTTCTCAAAACTCTCCGTGCTTTCTCAGTGGGCTGTTTTCATACTGCTGAATCATACTTAAGCCAATCATGGAAACATTATTGCTGATCTGATTATCTGTGAGCAGTAGAACGGTCTTAATGTTAGCCTTCAGGTCAACTCTCATCCATGTTTAGGTCAAGACTCTGTTATCACATATCTCTTTCAGCTGTTCAGCTCTGTGGGATTACCAGGTCAGTTTGTCTCTGTGCCAAAAATGATGTAAAGAATGAAAAAAGGTTTTATGATTTCATGAAAAAAAATCCAGGTTATGTCATTCCCTTTTATATTGCTCACATAACTGTAACATTGTAATTGTAAATTAATTTTGGCTTTATTAAATGCACCTGATTCTGCTTTTTTGCGCTCAACTTTAATCTCTTTCTCACACTGTGTTTGTTGCCAGTGGTAACGGGAGTGATTTTTCTCACCCGCAAGCATTTCCCCCCTTTGATGAAATAATCGTTTGAACGCACTGACATGTGTGAAGGCATTAAGATTTACTATGTTGACCCAGATTGACTCAGTATTTGCATATTCAGCAGGATTTCACATTATCATTTACACTCCATCTATGCCCATATAAGGATTGTATTCATTCCTCGCCATGGTAAAAAAGGTCTGTGGCTGTCACTGAGCATCATGTGGCAGCTTCCTATTGGGCTGGCATGCTGGCGTGGTATTGTGCCACAGGGCCAGTTGAGACATAATGTGAGCTTATCAGGTTGCCACACGGGTCAGTGGCAGCGTGTGAGTCACAGAAGGCCTACTCATCCTCGAAGCTGTACTACTTCCTCCTTTCGCTGCCAACAATAGAAGGGATGGCGTGAGGCCAGTGTTGGGGCTGTAAACGCTCAATACTGTGTGTCTCTGTAGATGGCGAGATGTCCTCCTGGGATAAAGCTCTGCACAGATTTAAACTGGAGCCCCAAAAGTAAACAATCCCGGAAATACACCAGATATTGCACAAAACTTGGGGTGCATGAAATACACTTTTGAATCTCCAAAAAGAAGTTCAATCTCTCTCAGAATTGAATTCAAAAAGTGGAACTTCCACTTCACACACAACCTTTTAGGACTTTTTAAAAATGTATTATTAACCTTGATGATACTGATTTAAACTTAAATCCTACTTTAACCTTAAATCATTTGAATATTACAAAAATGATTAAAATAATATAAAGAACTTGTAGCCCATTTCTTGGACATATTTGTGTTTAGGTTTTTTTTATATAGTTCTTGGTGGTTGAGTATACTGAACTAGAGTGAAGGAATAAAAGCTGTGCAGGTGTTCATAGCCTTTCATATTGACAAGAAACTGTACCACAGTATTCTGATGTTTTAAAACAGAGGATTTTTGATATAAGTAAGCTGTGAGCTGTAATTATCAAGACTCAGAGTATATTCTAGAGCAGTGGTTCTCAAGTCCAGTCCTCGAGGCCCACTGTCCTGCATGTTTTGGATGTTTCCCTGCTCCAACACACCTGATTCAAATGATCAGCTCGTTATCAAGCTCTGTTATGGCTTATAACGAGCTGATTATTTGAATCAGGTGTGTTGGAGTATATGGAGGTTTTACTTTTTGAACGCAATCATGGTAAAAGAAAAAAAGAAAAGGACTTTTTCAAGCCTTTTTAATCTGTTGAGCTGCACCTGTATAAAAAAAGGAGAAAGCTGTGTAGAGCATTTAACCAAGTGATGACATTCTATAAAATAAATGATAAAATACATATGCTTCCTCTATCTACCACTGTGATGTGTGCCTGTGGAATGACAGTGAGCCAGAAACCAAAACACAGACCGCTGGACTTGATCACATGTGAGGGTAGAAGAAAGAACACGCATTCACTAATTCACAAGAACACCCATTTACCGGGCCTTTGTGGTGCCTAGTTATTTCGGACAGGCATTTTTCTAGCAAGTAAGAACGGAAAGAAGGATGAAAACCAGTGACAGGTTTATAACAGAACAACACACCTGGACTTAACAATAGACAGTGACATTGTGGAAGTGGAAAAAAGACAGCACTGTGGATGGCACATGGAGGGACCTGTCTGGGGTTATATAAGCAGATATCTGTTTTCAGCCTTGTCTCAAGAGGATCCAAAAAGATAAGGTACTGAGTCTGTCCTTGATGAGATGGTTGGGATTAGGTTGATTAAACAGTATCATTCCAGATTTGAAGGTGGTGAGTCAAAGAAGATCTTGTGCCATCCAACGGTTTACAGCAATGAGACAGTGTCTGACAGCAGCCTAGCTTTTAGGGTCCTCAGAGGTCTCAGAGAAGGTATTTGTGTGCCATTAAGTGTGTGCATCACCTGTCTGAAATAAAACAACCAGATGTATGTCTTAGAGAAGTAAAAGGTACTTAATTGCTGAGTGCTCAGTAAAGTTAACTAAATGGGAGTATAACCTCTATTTTAATGGGACATAATTATGTTTTTTATCAGTGTGAAAGCTATACTAATATTATATGACTGTGAACAACTGTAACATTTGTAACTATAATTATACAGTACGAGCACAAAGAAGTAACAGGGAGCCCGGTATCCTGCATTTTTATTAATAAATTATTCCACAAAGCTGAATATCCACAGATGTATCTATAAATAAAGTACATTTACACATCATCACAAGATAGAGAGCATTTAAAAGAACAAAGTCCACACTTTATAATATTGTAAAAAAATTAAATAAAATAAATACAAAATTTCAAAGACCTGTGCTTGTGAGACAAAATATTCAAATATTCGAGAAGCAGGCAAAATCAGGTCCAGATGTGGGCAAAGGCAGGCTAGAAGTGACTCTGTGATAATAATGAAAATAATAACAAATAATAATTTATAATTTATATAGCACCTATAAAGATATAGATTTACATGGTGCTTTGACAAAATATGTATAAAAATATAGCACAAAAGAATTGTGAAAACAATATGTCATAAGACCCTGGCACCAGAGGGATACAGACATCAACACAGGGACCTCCACAACTGAAGAACCCAAACATAAAAAATCCAAGAAGCATATTGATCCAATATCAAGAAAACCCAAATAACACAAGAACTAAACAGCATGAGGGGGGACCAAAAGAGTCAGATAACATCAAAGTAGTTAAAAGCAACAACATGAGATAGAAACTGTTATTATTATTATAATAGAAATAAAATAGAAGATATTATAGAAACTGTTATTATTATTATAATAGAAATAAAATAGAAGATATAGAAACGAGCTAAGGCTTCTTAAAGCAGGTGGTCTGGGTTCAAGTCCAACTTGTGGCCTCTTAGCTTCATATTCCTTCCCACTGTGACCCCAGTTTCCTGCTTTATACACTGCCCTATTCTCTTTAATAAAGGCTCAAAAAAGTCAAAACAAAATAATCATTATAATATAAAAAGATGAAACTTATTCTTTTGGCCTTTTCCCCTCAGGACGGTTATTCCAAAAGTGAAGTCCTCTGATCGAGAAAGCAGAGTCCCCTGTTTTCAGCCTTGTCTCAAGAGGATCCAAAAAGATAAGGTACTGAGTCTGTCCTTGATGAGATGGTTGGGATTATGTTGATTAAACAGTATCATTCCAGATTTGAAGGTGGTGAGTCAAAGAAGATCTTGTGCCATCCAACGGTTTACAGCAATGAGACAGTGTCTGACAGCAGCCTAGCTTTTAGGGTCCTCAGAGGTCTCAGAGAAGGTATTTGTGTGCCATTAAGTACAGCTTTTGACAGAACAAATCTGCCTCAAAATATTTAAATCTCTCAACTGTCAACAGCAGAGAGCCTCATCATCCTTGGAGTACAAGTAAAACCCTCAATTGGGGTTTGATTAAAAACAAACCAAATAAAAAAAACCCTTGTAACATCTTCCGAAAAGAAAGATAGATGGCTGCACCGAAGTGCTTTCAAGTGTCACCAAAGCCGTGTGGTGCACCAGTGTTTAAATGCTGAGCCAGAGGAAAATGTTGAGTCAAAAGTATGACTGATGCCCTCAGAGGCCACATTTTTTTTTACGATTTAGTGTGCTTCTCTTCTGTTCACATAACACAATCATGCAGCAGAAAGCCCACCTTTGGGCGAACTGTCTTTGGGCTTGAAGAGCAGAGGGCACCAAAACTGTAGCTGGAGAGAGAAGACAAAAAGGAGAGCTGGTTTAATTTCAACCCCACATTTTGAACAGAGAATGACAAATTAATGATACGCTTACCTTACACAAGACCGACGCAAGACTGAAGGTTATCTTTCTCCTCTTTTTTAATCGCTTTCTCAGTATTTTGGCATGCAGGTACTCCACTCTCTCCTCAGCAGCGATGGAGAAGAACCGCTCACAGACCATCAGTCTGATCTGGGTCATTTTAGCAGCCATCAGAGCCATAATGAGCAGGGTGAGCAGGATGGCGCTCAAAGGGACAATAGAGTTAGAGAGCAGCAGTTTGGGTTTGGGGAGACACTTCTTCTCAAAAAGGGTCACAGAGTAGGAAAAGTCCTCTTGGTGGGTTTCCACATCAAGTGGTATACCTATTAAAGTTGCAATCCCCTAAAAATTAAAATAAATATATAATTAGTGGCTGTTCACCAAGAAGAAAACCTCTAAGGTAGGGCTGGGCGATATGGGAAAAAGTTTATCGCAATATTTTTTTTTCATATCAGTTGATATCAATATACGTCACACTATAAAAATTGAAATTTAGCAGTGCTTATTGGTAGTATGTCTTTTGTAATACAATAAGTTACTGCATATTCCCCTACTTTCTTGGAACATGTACATAATTTGCAGTACACATTACTCTGCTTCATGTCCGACCTCAAAAAACCCAAATACCTCCACACCACCAATATTTTCGTGCCAGTGTTATCGACAATGTCATCATCTGTTGATCCTTCATCTGCATTTCTGCCGGTGGTAGCACTCATTCTCTTTTTTCTCACCGACAGTGCTGTCAGCTTCATGTGTTAAAGTGCTATGGTTGCTGCTACTACGCAGTTGTTTCATGTCACAGTCATGCCTATTTTCAACCAAAAGCAGAAGTACAAAGATCACACGCTCATGTGGTCATTCCTATAGCCTACCAAAACATTGCAGAATGCCCGTTATTGAAAAGTATATTGATCATGTTTCCTATTGATATTAAGGGAAATTTATTTTCGATATATATCGTTATGGTTTATAGTCAGGTACATGCTGAGGATTGCATGGCTATATGTATGAACAAGTTTAGGATATGTACTTACCTTGATACTCAGTAATAGAGGAACATGGAATGGCTCCAGCTCAGACAACTTGGTTGTTACTATATCAACAAAACAGTACAAAACAGCATCCACACTTATAAATATGATCCAAGCGACCATATGGGAGACAAGTGGGATGCCAAACTTCAGCATAGCTCTCCCTTCTCTGGTGGAGAGGCAGGTGGAGGGGACAGGGGAGTACAGCCTCTCCTCCTCTGGTGTGAGGGGGAGGACATGGGGCTTTCCTTCTGCCTTCTGCTTGCCGTCGAATTTCACAAATTTGCTGCTGATGAAGCTGTTTTTGTATTTCATGTCGTTGCAGAATCTTTTAATGTGCAGCAAGATGAACATGATGAGCACGATGAGGCTGATGGCAGGAAACATGGTGTCCCTCACAGAGGACACAGTGTTCATCAGAGACTGCATATACTTCACTGTAACATTCAGCTTCTGCTCTGCTTCAGTCAGTTTCTCCCTGAAATGTTCTGATTCCAGTCTGCGTGAAACTTTAAGCTGGGAGTCAAAGTTCACGACCCCAAAATCGGTAACCCCCTTGAGCATACTTCCGAGCCACTTCAACATCTTTACATAATTACTGAATGGAGCGATGATGGCTGCTTTCTTAGCCCTCAGGTTGCAAATCAAACTGTTGATCAGGCCCGTCAGGTTCTCCAAAGTGTTTCGTACATTTCTGAGAATGACCAGGCTGGTCCCAGCGGCCAAGAGCAGGTTTCTGCTTTTCTTCAAGAACAAAGAGATTACGAGTAGAGTCCCCAAGCACCTCACTCTCTTCGACAGGAAGAGAACAACCGTCAGGAGTGTTGCAAAGCAGACAGTTATCCCTCCAGCCACTGCAGCTTCACAGTCCAAGGTGAACAGGAGGTAAAGGAGGGGCAGGGAGCTGAGCAGGAGGCTGGAGAAGCTGCAGGTGATGAGTAGGATGAGAGTTCTTTTAAAACCGTCCCTTTGTCCAGTTAGGAAAACATCCAAAACCAGATTACTGTTATTCTGCAGGCTCTCAAGTATTGCAGTCCTTCTTAGAAGCATCTTGGCTAAAGGAGAGGGTATTCATTGAAAGTCAACACTGAAATGCAAAAGCAGCACTGGAAAAAGAGGGGCTAAGATAAGTGAAAATCTGCAAAATTTGATGGCACTTAATATTAAAAAGAACACCTCAACCTTCCTGTAAAAACAAAACAAAAGCTGCAAGTATGAACATGAAATCACTCGGGACAAACCTGCTGCGTAGATCCTGTCATCTATTCACATGCATGTGGTCTGTTCGCTCCTTAAATACAGCTAAAACAGGAACTTCTCCACCGCCAATATCTGTCATGTCACAGTCATGCCTATTTTCAACCAAAAGCAGAAGTACAAAGATCACACGCTCATGTGGGTTAGGACTCTGACAATGTGAGATTTGATTTTGCTTTTGGGGTATAAATCCTGTTTATAATCCTGAAATTTACACATACATATACACAAGCAAACATAATCATCAATAATGACATTCACACTTTCTAAACAATATTTTTTAATGCCTGAAACTGGTGCAGGAGGGTGGTGTCAGCAGAGCAGCTAAGGAAATAGACCTGATTTAATATTTTTAATGATTAAATTTGATGGTCAAAAGTCAGCAGGAGGGGATTTTTGTTTTCTTTTGTCAGGAGACACTGCTTATGCCTGTAGAAGACAATATAAACAGAGGCTGTTTCTTTAAGGGTTTTGGAAAATAAAAATAAAAGGTTCCTCACAGGAGCTTTAAGATTACCATTCCTCTCAAGAAAGCTGCTTTGTGAGGAGTTTTTGACAGGCCTGTGACAGAAACTCTAACTCCAGGTAAAAGGGTCAAACAAACAAAAAAAACATCACTGTGCTTCATATTTTACAAACACAGATCATCTCACCCCACTGTAGGTTAACCAGTGACATCTTCTGTTATTCTCAGTGAACGCTGTGTTATAACATTATTTACGGTCAAAACCCCTGAATGAATTTGATAACCATGTTGGGATGATATTTGTCACATCCTTGAGTTGGGTAACCTCTTGTGGTCCCTGTGTTTTCATGTCCTTTGCTTTCTTCTTAAACTCACCTTGGTGTCTAGTATTTCTCCTCTGTTCCCAACCTGTGTGATTACCTGCTCGTCCCTGAAGTGTTTCATCTTCGTCTGATTGTCTCCACTCATCTTGAGCACTCTGTGTCCCTTCCTTCTGTACCAGTTCGTCTCTTGCTAGTCTAGGTTGTATTCTAGCCTTGTTTACTTTACATAGGACCATTGCTTCCGTTTTCTTGTGCCTGACTGTAAACCTTCTCCATGTCTTATTTCTAATTCAGCCTTATTCATGATGCAGATTAGTAGCCAAATGTTTAAAGACCTCTATTTTTTTATTCACTCATCACAAGATAACTGACCTACCATGTCAACAACAGAAGGCTTCTTTAGCCTGCACATGCGAAAGGAAGCTTGCCTGATCTATTTCATTTACATTAAAAGATACTATCATATCTTTTTTTGTGATTATGGATGTAATACCATTGCTATAGCTGACAGCCGACTGCATAACTGGAAAAGTTACATTATGGGGTCCCACAAGGTGCAGCTCTGGGTCCAACACTATTTCAATTTACATGCTACCTCTTGGGAATAAAATCTGCAAATATATAGCTTTGTCTACATGTGAATGTTTTGTACATGGAGGGCCTCTTGACAACTCCTGAAGGGTTTTTCTTGGCTCCTCCTGCACATTTCCTGTCATTTAAATTAATTAATAATTAATGAATTAAGAAGTGAGGGTTAAATTCTTAATTTGTTTTATCGAGACTTGAACAATTTGCTTTGTGTATTTTTATATGTGTGATGTAGATCAAAATAAATAATATCAACATTTATGCTGACGACACACAACACACCTGTCGGCGCTGATGACCCATGAAACATTGAAATTCTCTAGAATTGAAGAATAGAATTGAAGAGCGGATGAAGAGTTACTTTTTACAACTTCAAAATTAACCTTGATCATGAATGATTGGGACAAATTGACAAATTATGTGGCGCCATCAGCAGAAAACTTGAAGGTAAAAGACAAAGACAGCAGCAGTGTAACCAACTCCTCAGTAGGACAAGTCACTAGTGGCTGTCCTAGTAGTTGCTAGAAGTCAAAAGGTGACGCCATTGCCCCGTGTGTTTTTGATGCACACCCACTATCTGTCGAGAAGAATATCATTGATACCTGCTTTCATGTCAGAGTCTCCAAACTCCAGAAAAAGTTGTTAGATTTGTCGCTGGGCACTTTTTCGGTCGCAAGGCGTCTGAAAAGTTGTGACTTTTCAGACTCTGCTTGGTTGGCAACACTGGATGGCAGCATTTAGAAAAACTTACCCATGTTTCCTTTATACTCATGCCTTGAGTTCTGCAATTCACTATACATTTGTCTTAATCAAACATCAATCCACCACCTTCTGACACTTTGAAATGATAATAACTAGAACCAAAAAGTATGACCATTCACTTTGGGGCTTTGCTGTAAGAGCACCTGGACTTTGGAACAGCCTACCAGGGGAGACCAGAATTGCAGAGTCAGTCCCTTATTATTTAAATAGAAGCCTGTGATTTTAGTTCAATTTTCATGTTCATTTGATTTTTCTTTTCTTGTATTCCCACTGTGCATTGATTTTCTATTTCATCCTGAAGCACTTTGTTACTTGTATTGAAAAGTACAAAGCTGTGCTAAGTTCATAAGCATACTACCTCATGTATGTTAGTAGTTCATTTCCTGTAATTGTGGTTATAACAAGTGTTTAGATTTTCAGTATGAGAATAAACTCTTGCTCATATAATCCACACGCTACACACCACAGTTTACTCCCGTTTGAGTATGTCTATTGAGGTCATTACCACACAACACTTGGCATCAGTGTAATATCAATTTTTTTATTTTTAATTTGAAAAATAACTTACATAAATCTCTGTACTCAACCATACTTCACCAAGACATAGCCTTGGCATTAACACATTGCACCAAAAAGAGAAAATTAAAAGGCATTCAAAAGGATAAATAACATATGTCTTTGTCATCAGGTGAGGCATTTTTCCTTTTCCAAAAGAGTCAATCTATTCATGGTGGTTTGTTCATTGAAATTCTGACATCTAAAAGTATGTACTATGAAAACTGAGAGTAAAATATACAGTGTCATGTAGCTTGTGATAGCCACGATGTTTTCTCGGATATTAAAACAAATTTAGTTACTCGGGAAAGGAAGAATGCCTCAGTTCAATTTCATTCAGACATACTGCGACTATAAGATTTATATACTTCCCAGACATGAGAAGTATTTGTAATTACTAAAAAATAGAAATAAAAAATAAACTGGTCTTGGCTTTTAAATAAAATTAACAAAAATATAGTAAATTAATTTCATTTCAATAAAACAAGAAAAAAAAACATTTTCTGTGGCAATATCCCTTGTTACTTGAACTTGTGATGAGCTCATCTTCACAAACAGTGCCTGTAAAATTGAACCACAGCAACATACATCTTGCATGTATGCTGCCTCTTGATTATGTAGAGACCTCTTGCTGTACCAGTACAGATAATTTTTGCATGTTCGCCAACAATACTGAAATAAAATACACTTGCAATCACAACTGTTTTGTCAACCTCCATTAAATATAAAATATTTTCCTTGTCATTTTTTTTCTCAAAAAACCTGAAAGAAAATATGACCTTGGGGGTGGAATGTTTTTGTTGAAACTTCAATAATCGGCCACTGAAGACCAAGAACAAATTTGCTCCAGAGTTCAATTTCAGGTGAGGGAAAAAAGTAATGAAGTTTACATGCACTGTACAAGAAACTGCAAAAATTCCAAATATCATCTTTATCAAAACATGCTGAGTTACTGTAAGGTGTGCCCAAGCCATGTTGCAGAAAATCCTTTTCAACATGCTTGTTAAACAAATCAAATCCAAAACAAAATACATACTGAAACGATACAGAACTTCAAAGTAACCAACAGTCCTAAAATCTGGACAATATTAGGGGACTGAACAATGATAGCAATGAATAGTACAATGAGAAGTACCCTGGGACAAGGAAGAAAAAGAGAAACATGTACAATTTGCACATAATGTTTATCTTTATAAGGCCTGAGCCTTTTACAATGAAATAAATAATTTACATTTATTTTCATTACTTTTTGTCACATAAACATTTTCTGTTAAATAACTCGAAAAGTTTCCTTAAAGTTTCCCTTATCTTTGAGTCTGCAAAATACAGACATACTGTATGAATGGTCTAAAGAATGATGAACAATGTGTTGTTGTTTTTTTTTTCAATCACGATGTTGCATTCACTCCCCCTGAAAACCATGCACTAGTGAAATTCTTCTTTAAAAATAATATAAATTGTTGAAAATGGCTGATCTGTTTTATTTTTCTTCATCTTTTCGCAAGTTGCAGCCTCAAGAAAATAATTTCCTTTTTTTTTTTTTATTCAGCTAAATTTGTGTCCATGCAAATGAACTTAAAAGGAAAAAAAATATCTTTTCTCATTTCATTTTCATACAATATATCAACAGAGAAAGGATGATGGTAGATTGTACAGTTCTTTTCATAGGGTTTGGTTCATCACTGAATTTTTTGGAGGTTTGATGGCAGCCACTTCAGTCTCACCTCTGATTAACTTTGAAGTCTTTCTGGTAAATTACCCCTGCTGATGACTCAGCAGATAAACCTATTTCTCTGGGGGGTTTGTGGGAGTGTGGATACAAGTTGGGACACTTCTCACCCAAAGTTATGTCTCCAAAACTCCATCTACACAGCTAGGTCTGTTGGCGTGGCATGACCAAGCATCTGTTTAGAAACACTGTCAGCCCCTTCAGACACAAGTACTTTAACATGAACAAAATTTAGAAAAACAAACAAACAAAAAACAAAAAATAAATAAAATAAAAATAAAAAAAAAAGAGCAAAACTTTTTTTTTTTTCATTCAAAAAAGGGCTTCTGTAGAACTCGTTTCGCAGTTCCCAGTACTGACCCCCATGGCT